CATCGAAGCTTTTCCATATCGCCCAAGGTCGCAATTTCGCTTTTCCTCACGCGGTTGAAATGCTTAATAAAGATCCAAAGTGGAGGCCAAAGCTGAGATGGTCCTTGTCAAAGAAGGAAAGAAAAGTTGTTTGTGATGTTGAGGAGCAAGGTAGTGGTGGTAGTGGGAAGAGGTCCAGAGATGATGGAGGGGATGAAACCCCTACAGATGGTTTTTCATCTGGAGGAATACAACGACCCGAAGGTGTGAAGAAAGCAAAGGCCAAGCGTAAAGGGAAAGAAGTAGCTTCAGAAAGTGGTTCGTCTGAGCTTAGCGAACGAATGAAGGAATTCGCTACAATTCGCGAGAGGGAGGCCATTCTGAAGGAAGAGAGGATCAAAATTGAAAAGGACAAGGAACAGAGGAAAAGGGAGGAACTTGACATTCATAAGATGAAAACCTGGTTTGATATGGTGCAAGCTCTGAAGAATTCGCCTACGCCACTCACTCCTGAAGAAGAGTCGTACAAGAATTTTTTACTGGGTAAATTACAAGGCTTTTAAGCATGTTTGGTTGTAGTAGGTGTACGCTTGTATTAGTTAAGTTTTTAATTATGCGCAATGTAGTCTTTTATGTTTAACTAGTATTAGCGGTGTGTTTAATTTCAATGTCATATGTAAACTTGTATTCTGAATTTCCAATATTAAATGACAAGTTGTTTAACAAGTTGATTTCAGTTGTCATTGTTACCGACATAGTTGCATTCAATTGTTGTCATTGGGTAGTCACTTTTTTCTGATTTCACTTTAACTTTGGGTCATTCATACCAACATAATTGCAATAACTCTTTATCATTGAGTAGTCACATTTTTGTCATTGTGTAGTCACATGTTTCTGAATTAACTTTGTCAGTATGTTTTAACTTTGGGTCATTGATACCGACATAATTGCAATAAGTCTTTGTCATGGTGTAGTCACATTTTTCTGAATTCACTTTGTCAAGATTTGTCATTGTCAACTAGCATAGTATACCTATTCCGTGGCTGAAAATTTGATTGCTTTAGTTGGTGTGGTCATTCAGATTTGTAACCACATATTCATTTGATATATTTGCTATATATAGTAGGCATGACACATATCCACAACCACACTAATTCAGAAAATTACAATATTAATACATGATGTATTCCAGACCATCATCAAGTTCAAGTTCAAGTTCATCTTCTTCCAATAATGAAGAATATGATCAACTCGTTGATGAACTCTTCACATACCAACCCCCATCTTTCCTCATGCCCCAAACACAATCCCAACGTACTTAAAAAACACGTAGAGGGGGTACGAACAGAAGAGATAGGGAAATGGGACATGCCAGGCTGTTTAATGATTATTTTTCCGATAATCCTGTGTACAACACCACCCAATTTAGAAGAATATTTCGTATGCAACGACCTTTGTTTTTACGTATAATGAACAAGGTCGTTGAAGGTGATGTTTACTTCCAGCAGCGTAGGGATGCAACTGGAAAGTTAGGCTTATCACCTCTGCAAAAATGTACAGCCGCGATACGAATGTTAGCCTACGGCATGGCTGCAGACGCCGTTGATGAATATGTTTGAATCAGTCAGTCAACCGCTCAAGTTTCCCTACAACGTTTTTGTGCCGGGGTCATTGACCAGTTCGGAACCGAGTACATGCGAAACCCTACAACTGATGAATTGGCCCGGATACTGCATCAAAATGAACTGCGTGGTTTTCCAGGCATGATAGGCAGCATTGATTGCATGCATTGGGAATGGAAGAACTGTCCAACGGCTTGGAAAGCGCAGTACGCCGGTAGGAACAAGAAAGCAACGCTAATACTGGAAGCCGTTGCGGATTAGGATTTATGGATGTGGCATTCCTTCTTTGGTATTCTCGGATCTTGTAATGATCTTAATGTGTTGTACCGTTCACCAGTGTTCGATGAGGTTCTGCATGGTCGAGCTCCTCCGGTAAATTTTACGGTTAACGGCCATGAATACAACATGACTTATTACTTAGCCGACGACATTTATCCGAAGTGGGCAAATTTTGTTCAGGGTATCACATTCCCTCAACTGGCCAAAGATAAAATGTTCGCTGCCCACTAGGCTGCCGCTCGAAAGGACGTTGAAAGAGCTTTCAGTGTTTTGCAAGCTCGATTTGCAATAATACGAAAACCGTCGCTGGCATACGATGAGGACATACCGCGGGACATAATGAAAGCAAGTATCATTATGCACAACATGATTGTTGAAGATGAGCGCCACAACTACACTCGAGCCGAAGTTCTAAGAGCCTTCTACGAAGAAGATCAACAAGAATTAACACCAGCATCAACGTCTACAACGCCACCGTTTGAATTCAATGTAGGCCGACCTACCAACTTTGACTTTAACGCATTTCTACAGCGAAAAGCTTCCCTCCGTGATAGAGAAATTCATCTATCTCTAAAACGTGATTTAGTCGAACATATTTGGTTACAATACGGGCCACGTAATTAGGGAAAAATTAGCACGACTTTAAAGGCCAAGTACTATGTGGCCTACCTACTTTTCCGTACGCAGTCGAGTTATTTTTTAATTGTTGTGTTTATTTTATTTCCTAAGTTTAATTATGCATGGCGTTGCAAATGTAATTGGTTTCTAGTATTGTACCGCTTTTAAAATAAATAAAAATATTTAAGAAATTTTGAGCTTTTTTTTACAATTATTTCATATAACGTACTTAATTTTACGACAAATTTTAACGATAAAAAAGACAAAAATAAAAAAAATAAGTTACACAAATTTAAACTAGTTTTTATTTATTTGGAGTAATATTGTTAAAATATAAATGAAATTAATAAATAAAGAAGTGTTGTGTAGGAGAGAGAAAGTAATGGTGGGGTATTGAAAAAGTGAGAGAGAGAGAGAGTGGTGGGTGGGCATTTTTTTTGCTCACCATTGGGAGAGAAAATGTGAAATTTTTTTGCCCATGAGCAAAATTGATTTGTTGAGAGAAAAAGTGGGTATAGAGAGAGAGTGGGTGAGCATTTTTTTTGCTCACCATTGAGAGTGGTCTAACAAAGTAAATAAAACTTGTTAGAAGTGTAAGTGAGTAGTTATAAAGATGATAAGACTTTTCGGTAAGTTAGTAGCTTAATTATGTCATTTTCACGCTTTTATGCTCCTTTGAGCTTGTATATGCTTGAAATCGAGTACTTTTAAGTAGTATGAACTGTAAACATCTCAAACAAAATACATACAAGACTTGTTAGAAGAGTTCGTAAGTGGTTTATACTTCTTTCGTTTTAATAATATTATAAAAAGGATGAAATTATTCATCCTAAATTACATTTTATATGTTAAATATCTATAATTGTATAAGAGTTAAAATTATAAAAAATTGATATTGTGAAAGTATTTTATGAAATGAATCTAACAAGATCTCACATGACTATATTTTGCTTAATATATAAATCATATTATATGGCCAAACAAGAGCGATGAATAGTGCAAAAGTCTCATTGTTGCAATATTATTGAGACGGAGGAAGTATAGAAAATAAGAGTTTTGGATAAGTTAGTTGCTTATTTATGCCATTTTCACCCTTTCATGCTCCTTTGAACTTGTATATGCTTAAAATCGAATACTTTTAAATAGTTTGAAGTTATAAACATCTCAAAACAAAATACATAAGACTTGTTAGTAAGTAATTTTTTTAAAAAAATTGGGCAAGTTAGTAGCTTCTTTAGGCCATTTTCACCCTTTAATGCTCATTCGAACTTTACATATACTTGAAATTGAGTACTTTTACGTAATTTCAAGTTATAATCATTTCAAACAAAGTAAACAAGATTTGTTAGAAGTGTTAATGTGTAGGCTATAAAGAAAATAAGAGATTTAGACAAGTTATATCTAACAGACTTGTGTAGTCATACTTTAACTAGCTAAATGTAATTGATTTAACTACAATTTATACGCCAGTTCATGGTTTGATTCACTAAGCTTAATATTTTATCCCACCACCGAAATTTTTATGTTTGTATTTACTATTTTGGAGTAAATAACAAAGATTCATATACTTTTTATCGATACAAGGCTAATAGTAAAACTGTTTGTTGTTTACATAGTTTTTTTAGAGAAGCTTTATTATGTACGGAGTACTCGATATTAACATATAAGATGTAAGTAAGTCCTATTCTTTTGAGTTTTTGGGCAGAGCAAAGTAGAGCAGGGATCAGCAGAGCAGAGTAGAGCATATTTCAACGGAACAGAGCAGATATTATTATTATTATTATTATTATATCTCAAAAACAGACAGTCATACAACATACAATAAATTAGTGGGAACCGAGATACAATCTAGCCCCCACTCCTCTAGCTATAGCAAAACCTACCCTAGTAAAGATATAAGCTGCAACACACGCCCCGATGTCTTGCATCGCCGAGAACCTCTGAACCCGTTTCAACAACGCAACAGCCTTATTATTATTATTATTATTATTATTATTATTATTATTATTATTATCGCATTATTATTATTATTGTTATTAAATATTAATTATTATTATTATCTTTAAATATTATTTATTATTATTAAATATTAATTATTATTATTAAATATTAATTATAAATTATTAATTATTATTAATAAATATTAATTGTTATTATTATTAAATATTAATTATTATTATTAAATATTAATTATTATTATTATTAATTATTATTTTTAAGTGGAGCAGAGCAGATTTCAGAGCATAACTCAGTAGAGCAGAGCAAGACTCAGCAGAGCAGAGGAGCTCAAAATAACAGGGTCTTACTCTATATTAACATATAAGGTAGAAATTTCCATGAGATGTTTGGATGGGAAAGAGTTTGACATGACATTCTTCACTCTACCAATAAAAGAGTCTAATTAACGCCTTAATCACCTAATAGATTCCCGACTCTATTACTACGTACAAAAGAACTAACTCCTACCGGAGTATAAAATTGGGTAATCTCTAAAAACAACACTTTTTTTGGGTGCAAACAACACAAAATTTATTCCATAATCTTTTAGCAATTCTAAAAACTAATACCACACAACAATCATAAATGCTACAAAGTACTCCATATAATTCATAATACTCACATAATCCACCTTTTAACTAAGGTTAACACACATAACATTTGTAAATACAAGCCTATACACTACACACAAAATAACGAGAGTACAGACATTCAACATCATACACAAACATTTACATTCCTAACATCTAAGGGAACTTCCCTAAACTCTTTAAATAGTTGTAGACTCGACAAATCTGACTCGTACCCGATCTATTCATCTTCGCCCGTAATTTCAACGACCCTAACATCACGTCCTCCATCGTGATCCCCTCTCTCCCAATCCCACATCATATCCCTTATAAACTTCGGAACCACAACAGTCAACACACCATTCTCAATTGAGAAGCTCATCAACTCAGCCTTCGCATCCTCCGGCAACCTCAACCGCCACGAGAACCTCCCATCAACGGCGCTTATCTTAACAAACTCGCCATCTTCCGCCGCAACTTCCACCTCGTGCTTCTCAACTCCGGGCAATTCTGCTACGATCAAGTGCGCTTCTGGGATCTCCTTGCATTCTAGCCGGGTTCTGACGTCGCCGGAGGTTTCAACGGCGAGTTCCGAGTATGGGACTGTGCGAGGAGGAGAGAGAAAAGGGGAGAGTGGGAAGTTTGTGAAGGGGTGGAGAGGGAAATCATGGGAGAAGAAGTGATCCCAGAAGTTTTGGGAAAATGGGGTGAAAGGGGTTGGATTGTTGGAGGTGTTTCTGGGGATTAGTGACATTGCTCACTATGTGTTTGATGAAATGCTTGTGAGAGATCAGAGATGAGAATACTGAATACATAATAATGTTGAGGAGGTGGATGGGTTGATATACTAGAACGTATAGAAGAATCGAGAAACTGGGTTAGATTAGCTTTTAGTGACTTTATTTAGTCATCTTGGGACCTACCTTATCATCATTTATCACTAATATCACTAACACTAGTGTGTAAATGTGATTTGTTCAGAAACTGCGGTTTTACCTTAGTTCTAAAGTCATTTGTTTAGAAACTACCGCTTTCGAAATCTATCATTCCGTAATCAGGTCTTGTCATAATGGTTATAATTAGGTCTTGTCTTAATGGTTAAAATTAAGGGTTAGTTCTCTACTACTTGATACTACTCCCTTTGTTCCTTATTTTTTGCCCCATTGTAAATACATGGATCAAACTTTTAAAACTTTGATCATGAATTTTCGTTAATCTATAAGTGATAATATGTTCACGTGGATCTTTTAGAAATGTCATTATATATTTTATTAAGGATCTTTCTAACGAACGCCCGGGGGCGTTAGATAAGCATTTTAAATATTTCCTAATATAGTTTTAATTTGGGAATACATGTCAAAATTACGCGTCAATCGGTATAATTAATGTTCATTTTAATTTAATATTTCTACTTTTAGTTAGCTTATCCAACGCATTCGAAGCGTTCGTTAGCTTTTGCCTAATATTAATGATGTAAGAAAGAAAATGAAAAAAAAATGCATGCATGTAGTAAAGTTGGACGGTTGAGTAGTAAATTAGTGGACATGAAAGTTCAAGTTAGTGAAATAATTGTGATGGTCGTATGCCTAGTCTACTTATGCTAGACTATAAGTGTTGACTTTGGGGTATATGCAATGATGCATCTATGCATGTAGTTGCACTACAAAAAAATAGACATTTAGCAACAGATCAAATCCGTTACTAGATTGTACTTTTCTATCGCTAAATATAGGTAGCGACAGATTTTGAAACGAAATTACTCCGTTGGTAAAACTGTTGTCGCTAAATGAGACTAGCGACGTTTTATTTGTTTTCCGTTGCTGAACTTAGCAACATATTTTTATTTCCGTCGCTGGTTTTAGCAACGGATTTTATTTCTGTCGCTGGTTTTAGCAACGGATTTTTATCTCTGTCGCTGGTTTTAGCAACGGATTTTTTTATCTGTCGCTGGTATTAGCAACGGAAAAAAAAAATCCGTTTCTAAATTTAACAACGGAAAAATTATTTTGTGTCTATATGTAGATGCTATTCGGTTCGACCTCACTCAGGTCAACCCGAATCGGCTTTACATGTAAGACTCCTTAAATCCCCAATCTCAAGAATCGCAATAGGTAGGAGTCGAACCCGTGACCTCATAGTCACATAGTGAAACTCTTACCAACTATACCAAATATTATTTGTTTACTTCTATGCACATAATTGATAATAAGTGAAAGAAAAATTAGAGACGGAATTTAAAATCCGTCTCTAGTTTAGAAACGGAATTTCAAATCCGTCTCTAGTTTAGAGACGGATTTTAGTTTACATAATTTGTCGCTAAAGTAATATTTTACATAATTTGTTTTGAAAATAATTTAGAGACGGAATTAAAAATCCGTCGCTCATATCAGCAACGGAAAAATAAAATCCGTCTCTAATTTAGCAACGGAAAAAAAATCCGTCTCTTTATTTAGCAACGGAAAAAAATCCGTTTCTAATTTTGCAACGGAAAAAAATCCGTTTCTAATTTAGAAACGGATTTTCAATTCCGTTTCTAATTTAGAGACGGATTTTTTAATTCCGTCTCTAATTTAGAAACGGATTTTTCAATTCCGTTTCTAAATTAATTTAGAGACGGATTTTTTAATTTCGTCTCTAATTTAGAAACGGATTGAATTCCGTCGCTAGAATTCCGTTTCTATATGGACATTTTTTTGTAGTGTTGGAGGAAGCTTAGTTGAGAAGCTTTACATTGTTTGTTGGCATATATATGTGCCGTGAGTTTAAGCAAGTGAGAGCAAGAAGAAACTTACTAGCAAAAGAAGTAGAGCAGCAAATATCTCAAAGTAGGAGATATAAAGTTGTAGTAGTGAGGGAGGAAGTGGCGGAGAGGCAAACACAATATTAGTGTGAAGGTTAATTATTTTAGGATTAGTGTAAGTACCATGTTAAGGGTACTGGTGTAGACTATCCTAAAATATTGTATCTAATGTTGTAATTGTAGTAGTGGTCATTTTAGTCCCGAATATTGTTAGTAAAGTTGTTTTCGTCCGTGGAGGTTCGGACTGTGGTTTTTCCCCTTATTGAGGAGGGGTTTTCCACGTAAAAATCTTGTGGGTTGTTTTTGTTGTTCCGTATTTTTATTATTCTTCCCGATATTGTGTTTATTTGTTGCTCCATACCCAACAACTTCTTCAATGTAACAAACAAAAAGAAACAGAGAAAGTATTGTTTTCCTTTTAATATACAAGTATGAATCTTCAATTGGGATAAGTCAATTTGGGTCTGATAAAACTTGACTCATGTTTTGGACAAAGTTTTAGGCCGAGTTTTGACACATCTATGGTTCCTAGTTTAGTATAGTTTGGACAATTGGATTGGATAATAATTACGAGCTGATTTTACCAAGTCTATCTCCACTTTAGGAAAGTTTCTTAGTCATGTCCCTTTTAAACTCCTTAATCGGAGTGATTTTCATTGATCAATATTTATAGGATTACAATGAGAAACCTAATCATATTAGGTAAGTACAAAATATGTAAAGATATCATAAAGATAATCTTATACAAAATATATCCTAAACTTAGAGGAGAATATTCTACGAATATTCTCTATCACACCCCCGCAGGCGGAGCGGGAGAAAATCGGATGCTCAGACTGGATCTGAATCATGCATCGAACGATAATGATAGTATGGTAACACATGATCAAAAGAGAAGTAGTAGATGTGTGTCGGTGATGACGATGAGAAGCAACATGACCTACGTACAGTATAGATAAGTGCTATTAGGCCAGAGGAGAAGGAGAAGAGTCGTGCATAGACTTGGGCCAAGTTGCAGGTCCAGAGAAGAAGAAGCTAAGGGATCAAACCATCATCGGAGAGAAGACACTACTTTACTACGGGAAATTGCAATTGAGGAAAAACAAATAAAATTGCTCAATAAGCTACTAAAATCCTACTGCTTAACCATTTAATACATTTACCTCTTAAAAACAATAAATAAAAAATGACCCACATAAGGAGATAAATCCCACCAAAAATAACCAAAGTTATGCACTCGTGATAAAAATAAAAATAAAAATAAATTAAAAAAAAGTCAAAAAAAGTATTGTTGCTAGTGCAAAAAAAATCCAACACCTCTTCTTTAAGTTGTTGTACTATAATTGAATAAGGCTCCAACCAAAGAATATGACCTCCGCTGGGGAGGGGGCTTGGAACGAGCGATACGACAACTAATTAAGGTGGTAGAGGGTGACTTTATTGGTGGTGTTGTTGTTGTTGAGGAAAATCCTGCCAACAACGACATCGAGAAAAAGACTAACAAAAGGATGGTTCGTTAGTCTGGTTCAACCAAGACTATTATAAGTCATTGGAGACGGCGATACGTTATGCAAGCTTGCAATTTACTCACATATTAGGCTAAAGAACGAGGACTATGAGTGAGCAAGGTGGCGTATCAGGTGGAGAACCAAGAGGTGGAGGTGCTGCACAAATCTTTTGTGTGTGGTGGGAAGTCGGAGCACAAGAGAGGCTGTTGGTGCTGGTCAACCAACATACTCCATAATTAAATTGCGGAGGCAAAAAAAGTGTGTTATGTGTAATTGTTTGTGAATCACGCCGGTGGGTTTAATTTGCTAATCCACCGACAGGGGAAGAGAAAATTTTACTTCTAATACCATGTCAGATTATATAAACTCCTTAATTGGAGTGGTTTCCATTGATCAATATTTATAGAATTACAATAAAAAAAACCTAATTATATTAGATAACTACAAAATATGTAATTAGGTAACTGCAAGATATGTAACCAAATAAAAATAAACAATAATATCATAAACATAATCTTATACAAATTATATCCTAAACCTAGAGTATGAATATTCACTATCACTTAGGACACATCTTCTTTAGGGAATAGGGAGACATCAAGAGCTACTCTGTATTGACTGTGAATTCAAAATGTCTGTTGCAGAAGCTATTCCCGCCATTAAAATCAACTAAAGAGCTCATCAACAACACATTTTTTCTCTCCTAAAAACCTGTAACTCCATAAAACAGTTAACCCAAATCCACGCTCAAATTCTCATTTATGGTTTTTCCCAAAAAACTTCCTCATTGTTAAGCTGATCTCACTTTATACAACCTATGGGAATTTCCGGAATGCTTGCAAGGTGTTCGAGGAAATGCCTAGCCCATCAACCACTGTTTGTAATCAAATGATTAGAGGTTATGCACTCAGTGAAATAATATTGTAGAATGTTGTATAAAGAAGGATTAAAGCCTGATGAATACACATTTTCTAATCTTTGATGTTGAGAGAGGGAGAACAGATTCATGGGAGAGTTTTGTCATATGGGTATTACTCAAATAGTTTTGTTAGGACCAATTTGATCAATTTGTACTTGGGGTTGGGAGATGAAGCTGGTCTTGTGAATGCTTATAAGGTTTTCTAGAAAATGCCTGATGAAAATAATCCTGTAACTTGGAATTCGTTGCTTTCGGGGCATATCAGGTGTGGGGATCTTGATGGGGCGGTCAGAATCTTTGATGGGATGCCAGTGAGGAATGTTGTTTCTTGGACCACAATGCTTACGGGGTGTGCTCGAAATGGATGGTTTAGGCATGCTCTATCGTTGTTTCAAGAGATGAGAAGAGCAGGTTTGGAATTGGATCAGGCGTCACTAACTGTAGCTTTGTCTGTATGTGCTGAGTTAGGGGACTTAAGCACCGGAAAATGGATTCATTCTTATGTTAATAAGGCATTTGATGGGAGGGGCACGAGACAGTTGTGTATGTTTACACAATGCCCTCATTCATATGTATGCTAATTGTGGAGTGATAGAAGATGCATGTAGGATCTTTGAA